AACTCCCAACTCTTGAGCAGCTAAAACAGCTGCTTTTAGACAGGGGATGAACTGAAGGGCTGCACCAAAGCCCAGGATAAGATAAATGAGGATGATTTTGGACTCTGATTCATGCAAAGTGACTCTAGTAGAGTCCAAGAATAAAAAAGTGAAGTAGTAATTGAGCAAACGAGGTCCACTTTAAACAGCAAAACTAAACTTTTCTTCTCTCTTTTCTTTGTTCTTGCGACCTGTGCACATGTGAAGTCAAGACACAGGTGGGTAAAAATATTTCTAATAAACAAGTTGCATTTCTTCTCAAACTCATTTTTTATGTGACTTAGCTTTATTTATTTATCCCTTCATGTGCACAGAAGATGTTCCAGCACCAAAGCACAAGAAGAAGAAAGCGAAAAAGGAGACAAATGGGGTGGACGATACAGACGGTAAGAAACAGCTTTGTATTCTCATATTTGATGCTTCACGAACATGAATTTAAAAGTTTGAAGGGCTTATTTAATATAACCTTTTCATGCACCTCACTGTATCTTCACAGCTCACAATATGAGCATATTTCTCATTGTCATCCAAATTATCTTCAAATTGCCATCATGAGCCCAAAGAAAGCTTTGCATTATGTATTGAACTGTTGAGCAGTGTAAAACTGCACATATATAACAGCATTTATGTTCACTAAGGTCCTAAAAAACAAATTGTTACCATTAAAATTCTTCCATAACTCTGGAGAATAATTTTAAGTAAAGGATAACAACATAAAACCACAAAGAAGGAGAGTAGACTTTTCAAATTTGTCCTAAAATTTCTGTATAAAAATGTCAATTTCCTCATTTGCCTCCACCCACTGTTTAAAATAAAGCTGTAGCTTCTTGTGCCGCCTTCAGATCAGGGGATGGAGATGGGAGGCATGGGCAGCCGCAGGGCTTCTGGAATCGGGGATCATCTGACCCTTGAAGCCACAGTCGAGGCCCCGCCACAGAGGAGGAGGAAGAAGAAGAAAACTGCCACTATAGGTGAATTCAAGAATTCTGTCTCTGCTAGTTGTAGCTGCTTTATATTGCAAGGTAAGGACCCTGTAATAATACAGAGAGACCGCCAACAATCAGACAACGCCCTAAGAGCAAGAGACGGTGGAAGGAAAAACTTCCTTTTAACAGGAACAAACCTCCAGCAACCGTGTGCTGCCACCAGTTGGGGGTGAGGGGAGAAAGACTGTTTGATAATAACTTTAGCTAGCTCCATATTTTTAACTGTAGACTCTGCTGGAGTGGCTTTGCATGATTCACAGCTCAAAGTAATCCTTATGGATCTTATTGTGAATCTTGCATCAGCCCCCTCAGTTCATCATCTGCCTGAAACAAGCTACTTTAGCTCTTCCCACTTCAAACCAGCTTTCTTATGATTGTCTGACTCTCACAAACGGCAGGTGGGTGGAGCTTCTGCGACTCTATGACAGACTGCAGAGCCAAATTTAGAAAAAAGTGTCTGAGTGTGAGCATTTAGAGCAATCTGAGGACTGAACTTTTGGCTGAAACTGAAACTTTGCCCATGTTGTGAACCCTTTAACGTTGTGTATGTGACAATCCTGGATTTCAGGTCTTGAGGACGACCACGCCGACCTGGTGAACGGAGACACCGTGGACCAGACCACAGATGGAGAAGAAGTGGTCAGGAAACCCCGAAAGAAAAAGTAAGAATTTATTATTTTAATACAGGTGCACTGATTGTGAAATTCTGGCTTGATATCCACATTTAAAGAAATCATTTGGCTGACAGTTGATTTTTATAATGTTGCTGTTCTTGTTTATTCCCCGTTATTGACTCTGAAACACACAAGTGTTCACAATAAATTAATAACTGAGCTGATTTAAACCATCATTGAAGGAGAACAAATTCAAACGTATGCTGGGCCTCGATATTTGCAAGTTATTATCTTTAATGTTGTGACCTGAGAATA